GACGGGCACCATGAGAAAGTTCTCAGTCGTCGTTCAAACATACACCCAGCAGGATGAGTGAACTATTAACAAAATTCGAAATTACCGCGGAAAAGTTTCGCACAAGAATGATCGAGTTAAATAACAATAGATCAAAATGTCAATACTTGCCAAAGCCTGCAGCACTCAATAAAAAATCCAAGAATGTGTTGAAGCAAAGTACAAAGAATTCGTCAAAACGTAAGGTAGGTCCAAGTGACTCCAGCCAGCACAAACACTCAATAGCAGAAAATAGTCGAGCGATTCCACGCATTACTCCAAGCGACAGGAATCAAGTATCTAAAGCTCATGGGTGGAGGTTAAAAAATAAGATCGGAGTAACCACAGCAGCGGAATCTTCTGAAAGAGAAATAGGTAATTATGTCATTTAAAAAAAAAAAAACCCAAAAGTGTAACGTTACCTCACTAATGGCAGAAACAATATCGGTAGAACCCAGTCCCAGTAAATCATACACAACTCACGCAATTGAACAAGAGGATGTGATTGATCTCGATTGCGACTCGCAGCAAATGGAGCTGGAGATGAATGGGTTCACTTGCCCCAAACAAAAAAGGGTTTGCATCACTTGGCCGGCGGAACTCGAACAAACTATACGTGACGCTTTGACAAAACACATAAAGGGGAAACGAATCACGTATCGACGGACGTTCAACGATATACTGTATCTGGTGCGAATAAATCGTCAAGGCCATACAATGGTCCATAGTCTTCATCAGTCGTAAGAAAGGGAGGAATGTAAGGGCTAAATTTACATAAGCAAATTTTGCCCTACATACATACACACATCCACACAGCGTTTAGTCCAAAGTAATTGTTGAATTATTGTATTTGAAGAAATAGAAATCTCTGAAATAAATTAATAAAAATTAAATTAATGAATTTTGTTTTAAAATCTAATACATATCTGGTTTAAATTGGCCTTTGCACGAAAAATTGTCACGATAACTGCTCACATGGCGCACTACGGCAAAACGTGGAGCTAGGGAAAGAGAAATGCAATTATGAACAAAAAATATTCAGTTAAAATAAAAATACACACCTGTTAATGTATCACCACAACTTTTAGTCCAAATTATTAAAAATTTATTGAACTATTAATTTATTATTATGAATAAATTATTTTTAATAAAAAGAAGAAACACCGCACGAAAAGTTACGAGAATTATGAAATCAAAACATAACAAGCAAATATCAAAAACGTCAAAATAGGAATTCGCCGCAAAGAGATAGACGAGATCTGTTGAGCGCACAACTTGAAGAACAGTACGAAAGTAAGACATACAAACGGGAAAGTAAACAAAACTTCACAAAACAGCAGAAAACAATTGTATGTGCGCTACACAAAAAGCTCGTCTGATCTGTATAAAAGACGACGCATTTTTGGTAAGGGTAGTGAGTCTTGTATGATCACTCGGTGGCATTGTATGTCAAAATATAAAATAAATAAATATAAAAATATTGTCTGACACAGTGGCGGTTTTAAGCCTAGTTGTATAAATTACTAAAATATATATATAATTGTGTACAAGTGCATGGGCGGTTTTAAGTCAAGACACTTGGACACTATTGTATAGATATTCTATAACCGAACAAGGAAATATATTTTTTGTATATATACACTAACCCTTCTGTCCCACACAGGTACGCATTGAGCAAGTAATCATACGAAGATACAAACCACGGAACCAGATTAGAGATCACCGAGCTTCAAAGGAACAACCTCCAGATACAGTAGAATACCAGGAAATAATCTCAAGTTTCTCAAGTTTAATCACGTTTAATGAATTTACTTTGTTTTTTTAAAATACTATGTCATTGAATTGTACACATTAGTAATCTCAAGTTTAACTAAATTCCTTTTTTTTAAATACTATTTTTATGAATTAATAATATTTTAAATAAATCTACATTTAAAATTTAACACACAATCTTTTATTTGAGAAGTCTCGTTCTTGTGAATACAAATTTATTGTAACGACTCCTGGAAACGGCTGAGGTTACCCCGGCAAAGGAAATAACGAAACGGGAAAATCCGTGTCGTTACAATT